TTTTGAACTTAAAGAACAAATATGGAAATTCCAAAATTTGGTCGCACTGTTCGAGCGACCAAAGCTTCATTTGAGCGTAAAATTCGAGCTCTCAGAAGTTTTGTGGAGTTTGGGGGTTGGCTCGAGCGACAGAAGTTGTGCTCGAGCGACCACCCATTTGTTTTGAACCTTGGCTCAAGCAACCAAAAGTTGGCTCGAGCATAAAATGAGAGCTTCCAGAACTTTTGCAGGCTTTGCAGACCACTTGAGCGACCAAAGCTTCGCTCAAGTGAATTGCCTTGTTTTTAGAAATTTTGCAAGTGTTTTCAAAGTATATTTTGACATTCTCATTGCATCCTAAGCATTCCTAAGCCTTAATTAAGACATAATAATGAGGATAAGAATTAGAAACATACCACGATAGAAATGAAATAAGTTAAGTATTTTACGAGCATGTGTTTCAATGTGTGCCTATTATATGTTTGTGTAGGTCTCGCGCCATAGAATGTCTGATTCGTTTGATCTATCTATTCTATTACTGGAGCTATCTGTGAGTAATAACTCTATAAAACTATGTTCAACCTTAAGTATTTTCTAAATGACATGATATGATTTGTTTTTTGAAATGCCATTTTATAATTAGATGAATGATTGTCTAACTATCTGAAATGTATTTGTGGCATCCTTAGCATTATGTGATATCTGTTATATGACCTGGTACCAGGATTGGTTATGCATAACCGTTTATCTACTCAATAAACGTCCATTTATGGGTCATCTGGTCCCTTCATAGGTCGTCTGGTCTCTTTATGGGTCATCCGCACCCTCTCATGTAATCATGAGTCATCTGTTAGAGCTATTGGATGTACCACGTATGTACCATATATGATTATCTGTGAGAATCTGATATGAATATGAATCTGTGTAAGTATGTGAATCTGAATATGTTTCTGATATGAACTCTAATTTCTGAATCTGTTATGGATATTATTCATAAAACTTTTACTCTGTTATTATTCACTGGGCTCCAGCTCACTGTATTATTTATGTATCCAGGTGACCAGGCGCGTAACCAGACCTAAGCTGTTGCCTGGAGATTAGTTTTGTCAGCCAACCACTGCGCCTTCCGAGGAGATTCCCGAGTTGAAGTGTGGTCAGGTTTCTGCAAACAAGTTTTTAAGTTTTTGTCTTCTTTTGTTTGTCAGAACAGTTTTTATATACTCTGTGTTTAAGGCTATGTCTCTTTGACTGTATCTGTATTGGTGACGTAAGACTAACGTAAATATGACGTCACATATATGTATGTAAAGTTTTAAATTTTTATCCTATACATGTCTGCACAGCTTTATGGATATTATATTTTGATATTTGCTTCCTCTAGCTCCTTTAATTTTGTTACTTTATTTTAGAGGCCTTCGGTAATCCCAGGATTACTGACCGGTTACGATACTAAACCTATAAGGGCAGGTTTGGGTCATGACATTGGTGAAAGTCTAGAAAATCGCGTGGATAGGTGCCGAGCCTTCCGGTTAATACCGATAAAAATAGGAATTGGTACTGCTTGTAGCCTACTTACAGATACGTCCTAGAGATTCCCAATATTGTATCCACTGCCTTGTTTTCTATTGTAAAGGAAATGATTTTATGAATTATGATATAACCTGGCATTGTATGGTTTTGGAAAGAAATGTAAAATGTTTTAATATGAGCATTGCATATGAATACACCTTATAGCCTTATTAAGATTCATAAATTGTGTTAGAGTATCTCTACTGGGTTTTGGTTTACCCTATGTTGAAAACCAACTTCAGGTGCTGATGACATGCCTCAGCCAAGGCTGTAGCTTGGGAGGACTTGGAGCCAAGAGTTTCTTTTTGTTATTGTTGTAGTTATTTTGTACAAACCTAGGGCTTTATTTGTATTGAGTTTCAAACTCACTTTTATTGTAACCAAGTATCGTCTTGGAAAGTTGTAGCCAATTGGGCATTACTTTATTTGTTTAATTTTTACTTTGTATTACTTAGATGTGGCACATGCTGTAGATTCAGGGTTAAGGCTTATGAATGTATAGTCATATGTGCCATCTTTTGTAAAATTGGATTATATCAATGTAAAGTTATCATATTCAGATATGTATTGTTAATGGATAATTATCGTGAGATGGTATTATTGTCATTTAATAATTGTAATGGATGAATTATGGTTATATTTTCGGGGTGTTACATGATGAGTCTAAATCGTCGTCGTTTGTGGTGGTGGCGGCGTACCCAATTAGAGATAACGATGGTAATGAGTAACGCTAAGATCGGAGGGGAGAGAGAGAGAGATCTGGAGTTGAATGGTAGAGATCAATGAAATGAGTTATTAAGGGTGAATCCAAAACCGTCGTCGCCATTGGCCTTCGTTATCACTAGAGAAGTTTCAGATGAGTTCTTTAATGATGATGACGTAGCGAAACCCTAGCCGTCCAACAGTGGTGGCGAAGTTAAAGCCACTTGGTGCGTGGCTAAGAGCGACGCTAGCGACTAGGCTCTGTAGACAGAGAGAGATGAGTAGAGAAAGAGAGGGAGATGGAGAGCTGTAGAGAGGGAGAGTGAAAAAATGGTTTGGTTAGGGTTTGATTTGGGAACTATGAATATATATGGATATTTTTGTCATTTCACCAAGTCTTATCCTTATGAACTTAATAAATTACTGGGTGAATCTTTAAACATAAAAATATATGATTGGATTTTTTGTTCGAGCGCACTAGGGGTGCTCGCGGTTCGGTTGCAGTCGGGAAACCTCTAATCTGTCATCCGTCTGCCGGATTGGCGGATTGGAAAAAAACAATCCGCATCCGTTCGCCGGATTGGTAGATGCAGATTGAGCGGATTGGGGGATATTTGCAAATTGGTTTGGTGGTTTAAATTTTTACAAATTTTGAACATAATGCAACAAGTTGTTAATATGTATTTTTGGATAACAATCCAACTCAGCATAACCAAAAGATTATCAAGTAAATTGTCAAATACTAATAATAAATATATATAAGAAAATCATGCGTTATTAAAACTATTTTATTACTTTTGAAAAAAAAAAACTATTTAATTTGATTTTTTTTTAAATGTCAAAATTAAGTTTTATATTTTTCACACAAAAAAAACCCAATATCAACACTTGTCATTTAATAAAAAGATTTTTAAATTGAAAACACAACAGAAAATTTAAACTCTTTTTCAATTGAAAATACAAACATAATATTTAAACAAATTGTAAATAGAAAATTTTACAAATTACTAGGAGTGCTTGCGGTTTGGCAATTCGATTGTAGCTAAAGGAATCTCAAATCCGCCATCCGTCCAAACTAAGCGGATTAGAAAAAATCAATCCGTAACTATCCACTCGTTATCATATATTCATCCAAAATACGACGAATCAATTCGATTAAATCGATTTAAACGGATCAAAATATCCGCTGAACACTCCAAGAGCGCACTATTTTTTATTTGTGTATTTAAATCCGAAAAAGTAAATAATGAGAACATTTTGGATGGTGGAACGTGGATTATAAGAACAAACACCAAAATCACACCAAGCACGACGGGATAGGGCCTCCCTTTGAAAGACACGTACCGCCCCTTAGATATAATCAGACCATAGAAGACGTGACACGTTCTCCATGTGATCGACTTTCCCCATTCCATCATTTTCATGGTAAGTTTATGGTAACTTCCAGTTCCGTTCGTCCAATAGCATCGCAGAACAATCCCGATCCAACCCACCTTTCCGAAGCCGAAGCATCTTTGCATCTTTCTCTCTCTTTCTCTCTAGCCGCCCTTCCTTCCAGAAACCTCTCAAATTCGCTCTTCTCTTTATATACCCCCGCTCCATCTTCACTTGGATCATCAGAACCACAACCAACAATTTGTCACTCATAATTTCCTAAAATATTCTTCTTTAACTCAACTCCAGTAAGTAGTTAAGAGTGACGACTATGTTGATGTCGATTTTCAGCGCCTTTGATGCTCTCTCTGCCGAAACCTTTGGTCAGAAGGTCGGTTTTTCTTGGGCTGCAAAAGAGGGAAAAGTGGACGATTCGACGGTGGATCGCAAGGGAACTTCGTCTCCGGAAAGTCAGATGAAGAAAAACTCCAAAGTTGTTGGGAATTCAACAACACAACACATGAGGAGACCGAGGTTCGCGCCGGAGTTGGATGGCGTCTACTGTTTTGAAACCATTGTCCCTTATTAGATTCTTCTTTCTTTCTTGCTGATTTGCTAATTCATGTCATATGTTCTTCTTCTCTCTCTTGTATTTATATTCAAAACTGTGTCACTCATCATCAATCTACTGCCCCATTCTTAATTGTAAGTCTCATTAATAGTCATTTGGATATGAATTATTTTTTTATTTATTTATTTTTCATTATTTCTCTGTTCGTCGTGTTTTGGGAAAGAATTTGCCCTTTGGATCGTGATTTCCCTTCTCTATTACATACTCCAGTTGATTATTATGAAAATCACCTCAATAACTGAAATGATTTTTTTTTAAATTTAAAATAATGATAAATTCATGTTAAGGTTTTTCATTTGGGCACACACTGTACTTTATAATTATATAAGAATATGATATAATTTTATATTTTTAAATTATTATTAAAAAATATTATAATTAAACATAAAAAAGAGATTTTTATTGATAAATCCATTCTAGAGTTGTTATAACCCATTAGGTCCACAAAAGAATATGATAACCTGATTAGTCCCATAAACTTTTCTTTTTATTCCATAAGGTCCATTTTCCTAATTTAACATATTTTCCTGGACTATTTTGCCCCCATATATATGTATGTGTACAGTGTTTTACGCATTTACATATTATGTGCCTGTTTACGTGGCTGTTTCCTCGGTGATTCAGTTTGGCAGTTTCCATTTTACGTTTTTCTTCATCAATCCAATTCCAAGAGATACGTTTATGTTTTGCATACTCGTTCGAAGGATTGGTGGTGCTAGGGTTTCATTGTTGGTGTTCTAGTTTGGTTCTGGTTCTGTGGTTTGCGAGTGAAGATGACGAAGAGGTAGCTGTTCGGCTGTCACATTTTCCGAGCTTTAAGTAGTTCGAATCAGTTGTGTTCGACTTTCTGGAGGATTGTAGGATTGCATGGTTAAGGTTAGTATCAATTTGATTGTGAATAAATGTTCAGTTCATTTGTATGATGAAGCAGATGCTCTGTTTTTGGATTGATATGAATTGGATGCGCTGGCTTTTCAATTATATGCTTCTTACGTGGTCCTGTGGAGGGGAGTACATTCATATTATGTGAAGAACAGTGTTAGTTCTCATTTTAGTTAGTTGTATGCGTAATGAGGATCTGTGTATATGATTTGATTATCAGTATATATGGCAATGTGAATGTTGACATTTTGTTAATGTGGATTATGTGAAGAATGTGGATGTTCTCATTTTAAATTGATGTTTACTTAATGAGGCTCTGTGTGTGTGATATAATTCAGAGTGTATGTTTCAATGTAAATGTTCAGATTTTGTTAATATTATGTGAAGTTTGTTGGTGTTCTCATTTTTACTTTGATGTTTGCAATTTTGGCATCTTGTTAATATAAATGTGAATGTTCACATCTTTGTATTTGTGAATTATGGATTTAGCACCTGAATTGTACACGTAGTAATTTTTGATTATTTGCACAATGTGATTTTTCATGTCGATTTTGATTAAATGTGTAGTTCTCATTTTACTTGGACGCATGCGTAATGAGGATCTCTGTAGATGATTTGATTATCAGTATATATGTCAATGTGGATGTTAACAATTTGTTAATGTGGATTATGTGAAGAATGTGGATGTCCTCTTTTGAAATTGATGTTTGGTGAATGAGGCTCTGTGTGTGTCATATAATTTAGAGTGTCTGTTTCAATGTAAATGTTCACATCGCGCGAATATGATGTGAAGATTATTGATTTTGTCATTTTACTTTGATGTTTGCTTAATGTTGACATGTTGTTAACAACAATGTGAATGTTCACATCTTCGTATTCTGAAGTATGGATTTAGCACTTCGGCTGTACGCGTTCTCATCCATTTTCTGCACAAAGTGAATTTTCATATTGATTTATATTAATGTTCATTGTTGTGGTTTTTGTGTTTTTATAGGAGATGGATACCTTTATGCTGTTGGTGTGTACATATGGTTGCAGTACAACTGTAATAAATGTTGCCCGCGCAATGTGTTATTCTCGTTTGGTGGAGTGTTTGTGTGAGAAATGGGATGAGTTGTCTGCTGGTTCTATTTCACTGTTCTGTAAACTACCTGGGATTAGGAAGTGTGATTTGGACAATGAGGAAGAATTTCAGAACATGTTACTGCTTGCTAAATCAATGGGGGTACAACATGTAGAAGTTGTGGTTGAGTTGAAAAGTGGTATTGGTCAGTCAAGTAGTTCGGGATCGTTGCATGTGGGAGTTGAGGAAGATATTGATGCACTACAGAGATTTTGCCACCATAAGGAGAAGTCAGCCCCTTGGGCAATGGTATTACGCATGTTGGAACAAACGGTTGTTGGAGGTGCACAAGAATTTCGTGACGTTTTATGTAAGTACGCCATCCAATGTGGTTCAGTTAATATGTGAAGAACGAGACAAACAAGAGTTACTGCTGTGTGTGCGATGCGGGGAGGAGAGGGAGCTGGCTTGTGGGCTATCACATTGTAGAGCACAACGAAGCAAATATTTTTTCTACATCAGATTTTAGTATGTGCATTACGTGTGGGTACGGATGTTCCGAACATCGAAGAATCGCGAGTAGTTCGGATTTTGGTGTCGAGTACATATCTGAAATTGTGAGGGACAAGCCGTTGACTCGGCCGTGTGATGTTGTTACTATTTTGAAGAGGGATTATGGGCTAGATGTGAGTTACCATGTCGTATGGTTGGCTGTGGAGAAAGCAAAGGCTAGTATTCATGGAGATCACTCATTATCGTTTGACCAGCTGCGGTGGTATTCGGATGCGGTGATGCGGTACAATCCGGGGAGTTATGTGAATATTGACTATGATGCGAGTAGTCAACAGTTTCGTCGTTTCTTTGTGTCATTCGCTGCATGTATTTCTGGGTTCAATTCTTGTCGGCCTTTATTATTCTTGGATAGTACAAAGGTCAGCTATTGGCGGCAACGGCAAAAGACGAAAACAATGGTTAGTAATTTTTTTACCTCTATATTCATGTCAATATTCACATTGACATGCATAGTATGGACAAATGAGTGATGGAGAAATTATAAACATTGACATTAGTATGCACTGATGTGAATGTTCACATCTGTGTCTGCTGATGCCTGTAATGTGAACATTCACATTATTTTACACTGATCCATTCAAGTATTGTACATCTGTGCCTGCTAATGATAGTTATGTGAACATTCACATTCACATCAGTGTATACTACTGTTAGTTGATCCGTTAATGAACATTACTGTGAATGGTCACATTATCAGTTGCTGAACAATCAAAAATGAATTATTGATGGGCGTTAATGTGAATGTTCACATTATCAATTGCTGAACATTCACATGACCTGTTTCGTTTATATTGTTTTCTATTCATTTTGGAATACTGTGAACAGTTGTGTATTGGTGTTATGTTGTAGGTCTGTTTCCTGTTGCATTTGCGGTTGTTGATTCGGAGACCACGGCGAATTGGTCGTGGTTCTTGCATGAACTTGGGAAGGTTGTTGATGGTAACCGGCAGATTACTTTTATTTCGGATCGTAATCTTGGCCTGTTAGAAGCTATGCAGAAGGTGTTCCCATCGGCTCATCACGGTTATTGCTTACAACACTTGAAGAGCAATTTAAGAGACCGGATGAAAGGAATTGATAATGGCTTCAGGGATCACCTAGTAAGTAGTTTGGGTGATTGTGCTTATGAGCCAACTGTGGTAGGGTTCCATGAAAAGCTTGCAAAATTAAAAGAGGAGGGTAAACAACGAGCACATGATTTTTTCAAGGACTTGGCATCTGAGCACTGGGCAAATTCATACTTCAGGTAATAACAGTTTCATAAAGTGTTCCATTGGGCAAGTCAGAATGGTAGCGACATGAATTATCAGTTACGATTTGTAAAAATCTTTCAATTGTGTTTCATGTTCAATGTCAGTGATGTGAATGTTCACATCTGATAGCAATGACTGATTTGAATGATGTGAATGTTCACATCCGTTGTCATATTTTGCTGTTGTTAACATTCACATCATTCTGTCATTTAACTTGATGTTACTGTTCACATCTGTGCATCGTGTAAGTTGATGTTAATGTTCACTACGAATGGTGTTAATGTTCACATCAGTCAACGTGAGTGTTCAAACCTGTTAACTTTCGGGTTGTAAAATGTTTGTGATATTGTGCAGGGGCATGCGTTATGGGGAGATGACTTCCAATGCGGCAGAGTCATTTAATAATTGGATTAAAGAAGCGCGTAATCTTCCTATCACTCAAATGGTGGACACAATTCGTACTCAGTTGATGCGGCAAATGTCTGCACGGCGTGACCAAGCAAACAAATGGAATGAGCTTATTTGTCCTACATTTGAAACAAGGCTTATGGATTCGTTCAATCATAGCAGGTCTTGGCAAGTTAGCAAAGCCAATGAGAATGTGTTTGAAGTTCATTCGATACCATCTGTCACTGTTGATGTTGCGAGGCGTACATGTTCGTGCTTCAAATGGCAAATCAACGGATTCCCATGTGACCATGCTATTGTTGCCATTCAGAAGAGCCGCTACAATCTCAATGATTGTGTGGAACATTACTTTCATGTACAGGCATATCGTGGAGCGTATTCGGGTGCCATATTCCTTATACCATCGGTGGAGAAGCCGCCTTTTGATCCCATGGACTTCACTATATACCCGCCAACTGTGAAAAGACCACCCGGAAGGCCGAAAAAGAATATGATCCCATCAAGGGGTGAGAAACTTAAGCAAATAAGGTGCGAGAGATGTGATAAGCTGGGGAGCCATAATCGGAAGTCATGCAAGGAGCCGATATAGGATGTACATTTTTCATTTTAACGTTGTGTTTTACATTGGATTCTTATATTCATTTCACAAATAAGATTGTGTTGTGTTGGCAAGCAAAATAATGGTTTGGCAAACTTAGTATTTCATTTGTGCCTTTTTATTTTCTTTTTCTGTACGAAGCTGATTTTTTGTTAAAGTTGTAATGATAAATACATGATGTGGACATTCACACTTACGTAAACGAATCATATTATGTGAAAACTTGAACATGGGTTGAACTTTTTTACCTTATTGTTGTCAATGTTGACATGAATACAAGATGTGATGTGAACTTTCACATTCATGAAGATTGACATGGTGTGAACATGTACAACTGTTATGAATGTAAAGAAATGTGAATATTCACACCTGTTCATGTTACCCGTAATGATGTCATGCAAACAATGTGTACATTCCTGCACAAGGTATGTGTATTACATTGAAAACTGGTTCCACAAATCGCATCAAATATGCTCATCAAAACACGGCATTATGAATATCATAAGTGAGTATGAACATTCACATCAGTGTTACAACTGTGAACATTCACATCTGTAAACATTAGTGCATATGAATATCATAAGTGAATGTGAACATTAGTGCATATGCATATGAGTATCATAAGTGAATGCTCATCACAACACAGCATTACGAATGTCATAAGTGAGTATGAACATTCACATCAGTGTTACAACTGTGAACATTCACATCTGTAAACATTAGTGCATATGAATATCATAAGTGAATGTGAACATTAGTGCATATGCATATGAGTATCATAAGTGAATGCTCATCACAACACAGCATTACGAATGTCATAAGTGAGTATGAACATTCACATCAGTGTTACAACTGTGAACATTCACATCTGTAAACATTAGTGCATATGAATATCATAAGTGAATGTGAACATTAGTGCATATGCATATGAGTATCATAAGTGAATGCTCATCACAACACAGCATTACGAATGTCATAAGTGAGTATGAACATTCACATCAGTGTTACAACTGTGAACATTCACATCTGTAAACATTAGTGCATATGAATATCATAAGTGAATGTGAACATTAGTGCATATGCATATGAGTATCATAAGTGAATGCTCATCACAACACAGCATTACGAATGTCATAAGTGAGTATGAACATTCACATCAGTGTTACAACTGTGAACATTCACATCTGTAAACATTAGTGCATATGAATATCATAAGTGAATGTGAACATTAGTGCATATGCATATGAGTATCATAAGTGAATGCTCATCACAACACAGCATTACGAATGTCATAAGTGAGTATGAACATTCACATCAGTGTTACAACTGTGAACATTCACATCTGTAAACATTAGTGCATATGAATATCATAAGTGAATGTGAACATTAGTGCATATGCATATGAGTATCATAAGTGAATGCTCATCACAACACAGCATTACGAATGTCATAAGTGAGTATGAACATTCACATCAGTGTTACAACTGTGAACATTCACATCTGTAAACATTAGTGCATATGAATATCATAAGTGAATGTGAACATTAGTGCATATGCATATGAGTATCATAAGTGAATGCTCATCACAACACAGCATTACGAATGTCATAAGTGAGTATGAACATTCACATCAGTGTTACAACTGTGAACATTCACATCTGTAAACATTAGTGCATATGAATATCATAAGTGAATGTGAACATTAGTGCATATGCATATGAGTATCATAAGTGAATGCTCATCACAACACAGCATTACGAATGTCATAAGTGAGTATGAACATTCACATCAGTGTTGCAACTGTGAACATTCACA